TGGCCGCCTCCTCCGGTTTTCTGGCACACTGTGCGCCGAGAGCTCGAGGATGTCGGGCAGCAGAAATGAGCAGGCACACCGTGAGCACGGCGCCCGTGCCAAAGCAGGCCGAACGCATCCTGCAACCAATGGAGCAGCCATTGTAGGGCCGCGCTGCCGTGTACGCTGCTAACACAGCCACTCCACTGCACACTGCAGCTCCACTGTGCGGTAGCGGACACTGCATGCAGCTGATGAATGGCGCCTGTCGCGCGGAATCGGGAAAGTCCTCAACACAGTGCAGTCGGAGTAAAAGCAGCACGCACTGGATTTTTTTTGACCGACTTAAGTGCGATCTGGAAGCCGCCTCTTGCTGCAGTCAGTTTTGAAAACGAGCGTGGTTCCGCACCCACTCTTCGGAGAGCCGAGGGCGGAGCAGGCCGCGTGCCTCGCGGGCCACCGCGCACCGCACCGATATCATAGCCCACGTGTCTCCCTCTCACCAGACTGAGCACGCTGTCTCTGTCGCACTCGCGGGGCGTCCCGTACGGGTGCGAGAGAGACGGAGAGAGATTCTTCGCTCGGACGGATGCGGGTCGTGACTTGGGTCGGCAGCAATCCGCATTCCGTGGATAGCACCCCCTCCCCCCCCCCCTCCCCCTTCCGCCCGCTTAACCCTGACACCCCCACACGCTTCCGCCCCTCGTTGCCTTCACACACCTGACGTCTCGCACCGAAGAGGTGCCGAAATGCCTCATCTAAAATTGATTTGTTTTGGAGGCAAGGGGGAATGCGGGTCGAAATACGGAGGGGGTGGGGGTGAGGTAGAAGTTGGATGCAGTTTGCTCGTTCGTTCCTAGTGCCATCGGCTTGAGGCTGAGAAATAATTTGATGCGTTTTCTATAACGAACCGACGAAGACCAACGACCGTGAACCGGTAGGGAAATTTTCCAGGCATTTTCATTTGGGTGCATTTCTGAGATTCCATTTCTTTCCTTGGTACAGTGCAAGCAGATTATCGCGGCCGTCACCAGCAGTATTTAAGGCTCTGTTTGCCTGTCCGTGCAAGTTTGCCGTTTTAAGCCGCGCCAACTTGGTAATGGCATGCATGTGCGGGGCGGGGCGGGGCGGGGCGAGGCGGGGTGGGCCGGGGCGCGGCCGGGGCCAGCGCCCCGTCACGGAAATGTTGATCTTTGCGAAGCCCTCCCCGTTATTAGCTCCACAGCGGAGTGAATCCGAGAGTCGTTTTCGTCGCTCGGTCTCTCTCGCACCCATAGGGCCGTTCTCCACGAGTGCGAGAGAGACCGAGCGACGATAGCGACTCTCGGAATCAGCCTGCCGTAATAAGTCCCTCTGTAGGCGCAGAGTCAACTACACTACAAGCGTGGATGGAGTGATAAGGAGTGGGAGCGGAGGACGGAGAGGGGAAACATTTTATTTTGGCGATAGCGCAACTTACCGTCGCGAACGCGACGCTGTCGGGAAAACCTCCCCGACACGGACAAAAACTACAAATGCTGGTGGCATTTCCCTCGGAATGTGGAAAATTTCTCCACATTAAGGCGTTTTGCGTGTGAGAGATAAATAACGGAGATGGGAGACGCACCCTGCCTTCGTTGCGTGAGGCACCGACCCCTGTGACCGATACGACCATTCCCGGCTCCGCCATGGCTACGCCCTTGAACGTCTCACTTGACACAAGCCCCGCGGAGTTTAAATTGAAGGCAAGTAGAATCTCTCTTCAAAGTTGCGGTCGGCTGCATTTTCGCGAATCTGGCCGGGGCACTGCCAAGCCTGCGAAGCCGCGGACGACACGGCGGTTTCTAAATCAGCGACCTGTCACTAGTCTCTCTGGCTGGCCTGGCTGGCCAACAACACAGCCTCGTCCGCAGCAACAGAGCGGCCTTGCCGGCCTCGGCGATGTCTGCCCAAACACTTTCAAGAGCGGCGAATTCAAACTTCGCCGCCAACTGCTCTCCATCCCGGCCAGACGGCGGGCGCACTAAAAAAAGAACTTGTTTCCGAGTTGGTGTGCGTGTGCCACGGCGTGTGCCACGGCGTGTGCCACGGCGTGTGCCACGGCGTGTGCCAGTGTATGGCCAACAAGAGAGTTTTCGATCGATGGTGCGAAGGGGCGCCTTTTTTTCGTTTTCCTTCGCCGTGTCCTCTGCCTCCTCGGCGACGCAGACTTTCATATGTAAATTCGCCCCTCTTGTCCTCACCGGCTCACGCCCCGGCGCCCCAGTCCTGCAGGCCCCACGGACCAACTGCGCCCCACAAAGGCCGTAGTTTGCGTGCCGATATTCTATATTTAGCAGCTCACCCGAAACCAAGGCGGGATAATCATGGTGAGTTAATCATGGTGGTTTAACCATGGTGAGTTAACCATGGTGAGATAATCATGGTGAGTTAACCATGGAGATAAAACCAAGGTGAGTTAACCATGGTGTTGACCATGGTCGGTTAACCATGGTGAGAACCATGGTATGTTAACTGTGGTCGGATAACCATGGAAAATTTCCTTTCAACCACGAATAACCGCAGCAATGACCACCAGGCCCTGGTGAATCGACAGAATGGCGTTGGACCGGCTCTGCAAGACGCGGCATAAAAACCACGGATGCCGCATGAATTAACCATGGGGTTCTGTCGCCCTTGTTATGCCAGACTTGGTTAAGAAAAAAAATTATTTCCAGGTGTTGGCGATTATTGTCTGGACACCGCCGTCAAACCGTGAGGCCGCCAGCGAGGCACTCATTCTCTCCTTGCCCATAATTCTGCATTGTTTTGCATCTTTTTTTGTCCGAGGGGCGCCGAAGGGCCGCACAGTCGGCCAGATGGACAGACGAGACCCCGGCGTGGCGCGGTCGCTGCCCGCTGAGAGACACCAGGGCGATTTCGAAGGGTCGTCTCTGTCTCCGTCGCACTCACGCGTTCCGTGGCCATGTGAGAGGGACAGAGCGACTAAACGACTCTTCGAAATCGCTCAGGAGCCTTTACCATCTGCAAGGAGCTCGCGCGCAGCGGTGGGGAAAAAAGGCGAAGCGGAAAAATAATAAAAAATGCAAAAAGGCAACAAAAAAATATGAGTGAATTGATAGAAAGCAGCCAGGAATGGTGCAGTGACATCACCACACAATATTATCGCCTTCTTCACCTGATTGCTTTGATTGACTGAATGTGCACCTGTCTATTCAAGCGGCACAACCCCCTCCCCTTCTCTCTCTCTCTCTCTCTCTCTCTCTCTCTCTCTCTCTCTCTCTCTCTCTCTCTGACTCGCTGCCACGAGCACGGCCCGGGGCTGAGGGTCGCGTCATGCCGTGGTGTCTTCATTCATCGGGGTACTGATTGACTAGGACACCAACAGGGCACGCACAACACTCACACACACACACACACACACACACACACACACACACACACACACACACACAGAGCGTGCGCGACCGGTATGCTAGCCCGCATCGGGCGGTCCCACAAATGCCACTTAGTGAAGCCAGGTCAAAATACGGATCGCAAAATTGAGGTCTGGGCTACGACACTAGAGCGAGAATTACACCAGTATAGAGGAGGAATCTGGTGCGACACCACCAGCTGCCGCGCGATGTACGGAAAGTTGTTTGCGACACTGGGAAAAGGGGGGGGGGGGGGCAAGGCTACTGCGTTGTCATACACGGGGCAGCATGCATGAGACGCGGTGACCTTCTGGCCGGGCCGTCCCCCCACTCTCCCCCTCTCTCTCACTCCCGCCGCTCCTTGGGCAGGGATCACTACCCAGCGGCCCGAAACAGATCCTGTAACAACCGCCAGTCATCTCGCTCTCTCGCTCGCACTCATCTGACGGCCCGCCACGGCGGCCACGGCGGCCACGGCGATCGGCGGGGCTCAGGTAAGACGAGGCGGCCAGGAGCCCCGAGGACGCGCCGAGCGGCGCCGAGCGCGCGGCCCAAGTGGGGGAAGGGTTACTCAAAGGGAGGGAGGGGGCGACACCAGAGCCGGACAGAAAAAGAAGAGTTCACGACCACCAGACCGCAGCGCCACTTTTCCCTCTGCTTTTACAGTGTCTGGTGGTTCGTTCACGTTTTTCGCCCTGGAAGCATGCCAGCGGTTGTAAGCCCGTTGTTTTCCAAAGCCTGCAGGCCATCGCCAGCAAGTGAATAACTGTTTGAAGTAAATTCACTTATTGCAAGTACATTTTCTCGGTGCAAGCAACGAATTTTTCGGATGTCCTTCGAGGACTCGTCACCTGCACTGCTGCTCAGACCTCACAGTGTCGGAGAGGCCCTGCGGGGAGCCCAATGAGTGCGAGAGAGACAGAGTGACGAGGAGGTTGGCCCCCGTGGCCTCTGCGGGTAAGGCGTCGGCGTGCAGGTGGACGAGTGTCACGGCGAGCACTCTGCACTGACAGGCCGAGGACGTCCGGACTGCATGCACGCCCGTCAAAACAAGGCCCGAGAAGCCTGAGCCTGACTTCGCAACGCCTCCACCTGCCACTTTTTTTCATATTTTTGTATTATCTTCATATTTTTGTACTTTTTTCTTATTGTTGTACTGTACTTCATCATAACTTCGTACTCCTTTCATATGTTTCTACTTTTTCATATTTTCGTACTATTTTCAAATTTTTGTACGATTTCACGTTTTGTCTGCACCGAACCGACTTCGCCATTCATCACCGCATTCCTTTCCGAACGGCTCACAAAGTTTCACTCTCGAGGACCCCCTCTGCGATAACCGAGGACTTTTCCAAGTGAAACCGGAGGAACGCAGGTGGGGCAACATTTACTTCTCGATTTCGCGCGGCCGCCGCAATCTGCCATGCAAGTGTCCGAGATGTTTTGCACCTACTCTCGCGGTTCAGTGAAAACTGTATCAGAATTTTAAGAACAGGTTGACGCAAGGAGTTTTTTTTTACCGGTATCGTGGCGCACTGCAGGCTGGCCTTGGCATTCCCAGTGCACGAGCGGGACAGGCGCGGATCCAGGGGAGGGGGGCATCGGCTCGGGCGAAAAGTCACTCACCTGCGCATGTAGTGGTACTTGAACACGACGAAGATGACGAGGCAGTTGGCGAAGAGGGCCACCAGGAACAGCGGCACGTAGCACGCGATGAGCACGATGTGGCTCGTCTCGGTGTACAGGTTCTGGCGCTTCTTGAAGTCCTCGATGAACACCTGAACCTGGGCCGGGTCCAGGTCCACGTCGCCCGTCCCGTTGGACGCGTTCATGGTGGCGGCCGTGGGCGCGGCCAGCCACTCCAGCAGCGTCGCGTTGTCCGCCATCACATCGCCTGCAACACACACACACATGAAGGCGAGAAAACGACGCACTGGGCCAGAAGACCGGTGGAGGCGGCCAAAACTCTAGACGCGTTTTGAGCTCCAGACGCTAAATGGGACTCGAACCGAATGTGTGACTCCACCAATGGATTCCTCGTTCGGAGAGCAATTCATTGGTGGGGTCACACGTTCGGTTCGAGTCCCATCTAGTGACTCTGCAGCTCAAAACGCGGCCGGGATCCTGACCGCCTCCGAGCGCCTGCGAATCCTGGGATAGGCCGGCCCGCAACGCACGCCTGTTGTGCGGGTGGACTACGCTACCGTCTGCAGGCGCCTTCGAGTCGAAAATTTAAGCGGAGTAGGAGGAGGAGGGGGAAGAAGAAGAAGAAGAAGAAGAAGAAGAAGAAGAAGAAGAAGAAGAAGAAGAAGAAGAAGAAGAAGAAGAAGAAGAAGAAGAACAAGAAGACATTCTCTCTGCCTTCATCCCCGGCCGACACAACGCTCGCTGGGCGTTAATATCGGGAATGCCTGGGGCGGGGCGGGCCGGCGGGCCCGGCAGGCCAAACGGTCCGGGCCTGCTGTATTGTCCCTGGACCAGCTGGGTGTCGTTGGCCTCTCCCCCCCCCCTCCCCATTTTCCCCCCTCTCCAGCCACTGTCCACTTGAACCACCGCCGTTTCAAGCCCACCACACAAAACACATTGCGAACACTTAGATGATTGCGACGGCGAGACCTCATCGGGAGAAGTAAGACAACAAACAACGTCTCCCCGACCGTGCCTCGCGCTGTCTGGCTGCCTTCGCGCGCCGATGCACCTCGCGGACCGTGCAGCACACTCATTCCGAGAGTAAGAACGCCCCATGAGTGCGAGAGGGACCGAGCGACGAAAAAGACTTTCGGAATCAGCACCGAATCGAATTTCTATAACTAGAACTTTACTAAATTTGAAATTTAAAAAAAAATCTAATTATTCTGCAAGAGAAAGTTTTGAAAGAAATTTCAATTGCAATTGCAAAATTGTTCAGTACCACATCTTTGGTATTTTTTGGATGTTTTTGCCCCCTAAGATAATTTTAATTTACTAATTATCATTATTAATGACCCCATTCTTTTCCAAGACTTTACTCCCGCCGAAAGTGAAGCTTGATGTTTTCCACTGTGACGGGCGATCCCGACCTCACGCTCCAGGGCCGGTCGGGGCGGGGCTGAGTCGGCGCACGCCTGACAGCCACACCGTGTCAACGGGTTTTCCCCGCCAACGCGTCCTGATACCTGCGTCGCTCTGTCTCTCTCGCACTCGCGTGAAGCCCCACAGGGGTGCGAGAGAGACAGAGCGACGACAGCCCGCAGGGAAAAAGCGCGGAAGTGACGCCACATCTGGCGTGGGTAGCGGCGGGCCGTCGGATGCAGGGAAATGTCAAATTCGTGTTGTTTCAGGGGGGGGCTTAAGAGGGAGGGGGGGGTGCCCGAAGGCCGATGGGGCTGACGCGGACGAAAACGAGACCTGCGGGCTTACTCCAAACAGAGCTTCGTCTCTCTCGAACTCATAGCGACTCATAGTGTGTTCGTAGCTGTGCGAGAGAGACAGACCGACGCAGTAGACCCCAACGCGCCTAGACCGCCAGGGATTCCGAAACAGCTGCCTTTCTTACATCCACATTTCGTTCCCTGTTATGAATTTTAGCGCCACGTCCCGTTCTCTCGTTTTTAATTTAGCTTCATTTAATCTGTATTTTTACGGTGCTAACTGGCCCTGTCTTTCAGTTCGGCGGCTTTTAATGAGCTGTCGAGGGGAAACCACGAGGAGAGAGAGAGACAGAGATAGAGCTTTGTGTTGGATGAGACCTGAAATGGGAAGAAAGTTCTGAAAACTTGCGCCAAAGTTGGACAAGGGGGATGGGTCACCATTATTCCTGGCCCTTCATTGGTAGCAAACATTGAAAGTAGTTGGAACAGAGTAGCAAAATGGTGGCCAAATTCGGGCCGCCTTCACAAAGGGCGATGCGAGACTTTGCGTTTAGCGCGATCGCACAATGGCCGAACAGAAAGGCGAGGGGGGAACATTTTCCGATTGGAACAAAAGAACCCGTGTGGCTGTATACACATTTACTGTTGCGTGTAGCTGTGCACATTTACTATGAATCTATTTGTTTCAGTGTGTGTGTGTGTGTGTGTGTGTACGCGCGCGCGCGCGTGTGTGTGTGTGTGTTGTTTCTCGCTGAGCAGGAAGCCAATAGCCGTTCAATCAGTCGAGAAGTGTGCCTAACGACGAAAAATGAGAGTGGCGAGACACACTGGTAACGCAGGCCTTGCTTTTGATACTGGCACACCTGTCAAGGGCAGTGCACAGCCCACCCAACAAAAAACAGCGAGAGAAGCAACAACTACAAAGGCGGGAGGAAAATAGTGCTTCCCGCTAAACGCGGCGCGCTATTTTAATTATCATGAGTGTGGTGATGTGTCGCGGAAAACCACACACGCTGTGGCGTAGCCTCCAGGCTGACTCCGACTAGTTGCTTATGTCACTCTGCTTCTCTCTCTCTCTCTCTCTCTCTCTCTCTCTCTCTCTCTCTCTCCCCCCCAGGGGGTTTTCACGCGCTGACGCGTCCAAAACTAAAACGACCGAAAAAGAAAGTTGAACGAAAAGAAGGTGAGTGCTGCTGTTCCTGTGGATTAGAGCGTCGAAGCGATTTCCAGGTCCAGCAGATGACCTCCTTGATTTCCCGGAAGCGGACGCTGATGGCGGGATTGCGGAGAGTGGGAATCAGCTTCACAAAAGTCGCAGCCGCCATCGAGAGGCACCCGAGGGCCTCTCCGTCTCTCTCGCACTCGCGGGGCGTCCCGTAAGCGTGCGAGAGAGAGGCACAGCGCAGGTAGCTTTGTTCCCCGCCAATGAAGCCCAGGCCAACCAATCAGACCAAAGGGCGGCCCTGCCAAAATTATTCCGTCCACTCCCGGCATTAGTCGGTCGGACAATGCAGTGATTCGATTAGTCGATTAGTCGACGTGCACAAACCACGTAACGCTCCCGATTTAACAGTGGCGACGCTTCTTCAGGAAGCTTCGGCCGGCAAGGCGCACTGCAAGGCGCACTGCACGGAAAGGACTGAAGGCCGAAAGGGCGGCGTCACCAACTATTTTTACTGCCAAGTCAAGTCCCCCTTCCCCCCCCCCCCTCCTCGCCCAAAGTACCCTTGGAACACACCATGCCGCGCCGCCCCCGCCAACCAACACGGACACCTCCAACGCAAGCCAGTCGCCGACAAACCGACAATCGATATGCATTAGTGCCCTCCGAATTTCGTGAAACGGACAGAACCGCACGAACACAGACAGACACACACACACACACACACACACGCACACAGCACACTCGCAGCACGCAGATACACACGCAAGATACAGAGCTGTGCAAGCAAACTAGCCCCGTCATTCCTTTGCAAAGAACTGGATTCAAAAAATACTCTCGGAGGAGAGGAATGAATAACCTCGAGGAGGAGAAGGAGGAGGAGTAGTAGTCATGAAAATTGATACACAAAAAAACTGCGAAGTAATTTAGAGTGTGGTGCAGCGAAGGCTCATTGGAGAGCAGGGGAGCGCCTGCGAACTCCAGCCTAGGCCAACCCGCGCCTCTGGCCTGCTCTGCGGCCTGCCTACCCAGCCGTCGGCGGGCGCCCAGGGGACTCGCTGCTCGCGGCGCAGCGCGGCAGCGACGGCAGCGCACCGCAACGGCATCCACATATTGCTTCACACGCTCTCCTCCCCCCCCCCCTCCCCACCTCTCTCTCTCTCTTCTCTCTCTCTCTTTCCCTCCCTCTCTTCCCCTTCGAGTGCGACGGAGACGGAAGCGGCGTTCGTTCCCGGGTCGCGGGGCTCCCCCCGGAGGAGGAAAAACTCAT